ATAATTGGGAAGTAATCCAATTATCTCCAAGGATAGAGGCAAAACTCCATTACACAAGTTAGCAAAATGACATAAAAATACAAAATCTTACAAATACTGCATAAAACATATACATTCAACATATCCCCAGATAGCTTAGATCTGAGCGCACATTATTACCAAATGGCACTCAGATTACATATATACCGTTCAATCACCATGGAGCCAAAGTCTTTCACATAGTCTTTCATTAGACGAATGGGCTCCATGGCATATCTATCTGGGGTAGCACTGTTCACACAGAGAAAATACCGAATAGACCGGCGTGTTTGTTAATATAAGTGTCCGTTTTCAGTTTCACAGTTTTGTAGCTGAACACCGCTGGCCGTTCGGCAGTTTAAAATGGCCGCTGCCACGTGTTCGGCTGTGGCAAACCTAGCCACTTGGACAAGGGTTGCCTGTATGGTTGTGGGGATATGTGTGTGCCTAGGTGTAATGTATGCTGGCTGTATAACCTTGTATTACCTGTATTGGCTATCTGCCGAAAGCAGATAGCTGTATTCCATTTCGGTTCACGAACGGCACCTTTGCGGGCCGTTCGTGAACCGAAATAACCACCCTGTAATAGCCCACACATTTAGAGACGTGTGGCGCTTGTTAACCGATTGCAACAATGTTGCAATCGGTAACTAGAGGCTCTCCTAGGTGGCCGTCGTTCCGCTACCGACCATGCGGCGGTTGGCCATCTTGGATCCTTTGTTCCCCCAGGGGTGTTTGGTCGTTGAGCGCGTGGTACTAAAAACGGCTACTCAACGGCGTGAACACCGCTGAACTTCCAGGCCGTTCGGGAGTTCCGGGCCGTTCGGTATTTTATTCCCTATTTTATTCCCTATACATCAATCGGTCTTTTGAATGTGTGTTTTATGCACCAAGCGGCTTTCGTTCCATCCAGTAGTCTCTAAACGTGAAGAAGAAATCCCCCCAATAACGAGACAGAAGCTCCGCATTGAGGGTCAAACAGGATCTGGCTTTACTGTGGGCTACCTGCCCGTATTTATGCAGGTCTCCCACTTGGTGGACACTCCCCTAGGGGACCAAATGGGAGACTTAAATGACAGACAGATATGGGGACATTCCAGACACACAGTCACAGATTTTACCCACACTGCATTATGATTCCCTCCCCTCTGCCCTAGAGATAATTACCAAGTAACTCCATTATCTCCAGGACAAAGCCAGTTGCCATTTTAAATATAAAATCATAAAAGACATAAAAATGCATAACTTTAAAATAACCGAACATTTCCCATTCGTATCACATATCCCCAGGTAGCCTGGATCTGAGTGCATATTATTAGCGAATAGCGCTCAGATCCCACACACATAGTTCAATCGCCATGTCAAAGTTCTTACAGTCTTTCGGTATACGAATGACTCCATGGGAAGGCTATCTGGGTTAAGTCTTTTCGTATGCTCCAAACCTCACGAACGGCCGGTATTCGTATGCTTGCGTGGAGACAGCCAGGCGTTCCGTTGTTTCAGCGGTGTTCAGCAGAAAAAGTGTCTGTTTTTAGTTCCATAGAAATAGAAATAGAGCCAAACACCGCTGGGCTTTCGCGTGGTTTAAAATGGCCGCTGCCTCGTGGTCGACATACGAACGACGACCACCCTGAATTCGGTTTAATTGAGAAGTGTCTGCGGTTAACCACAACGTTCTAATTGGGATCAATAGGTTAACCAGCAGCACACTTCTCTCCTGGGTGGCCGTCCGTTCGGCAGGTTTGTTCGGGAAAAAGAGTCATTCGAATGGCTGGTCTATAGAAAACAGCAATTCATACGAACGGGATACAAACAGACGAATACAGACCAAGGCCAAGCACTCCTTTTCCACTGCCGCATAACTCACTTCTCTGGGTAACAACTTTCTGCTGAGATATGCGACAGGGTGCTCTCCTCCATCTTCCCCGACTTGGCTCAGCACAGCCCCCAGTCCATACATGGAAGCATCTGTATGGACGAGAAAGCGTTTGTTAGGGACTGGGGCAGCCAAGACAGGGGCATTCACAAGAGCCTGCTTCAGTGCCTGGAACGCAGCTTCACAAGCCGGAGACCACAGGACCTGCTTAGGCAAGTTCTTCTTGGTCAGGTCTGTCAGGGGCTTAGCAATAGTGCTGTAGTCAGGGACAAAATGTCTGTAGTACCCTGCCGTCCCCAAGAAGGCCAATACCTGGTAGGTGTGGGCCAGTTAGCCACTGCCTCTACCTTGGCTGGCTCTGGTCTCTGGCTCCCACACCCCACTCTGTGACCCAGATATTGTACTTCAGCCATACCTAGATGGCACTTCTCTGGCTTCAATGTCAGGCCAGCGGCCCAAATTTTATCCAGCACTACCCCTACATGTACCAGGTGTTCCTCCCAGGACCCACTGTAAATCGCAATGTCGTCCAAGTATGCACAGGCAAATTCTTGGAAGCCATCCAGGAGTCTATCCACCATCCGTTGGAAGGTAGCCGGTGCATTTTTCATCCCAAAAGGCATGACCTTAAATTGGTACAGGCCAAATGGGGTGACAAATGCCGACTTGGGGATAGCATCCTCGGCCAGGGGGATCTGCCAGTAGCCCTTACACAGGTCTATGGTGGTCAGATATCGCCCCCTGGCAATGCGATCCAGTAATTCGTCTACCCGGGGCATTGGGTAGGCGTCAGTGGTGGTCCGCTCGTTGAGCCGCCTGTAGTCCACACAGAAC